CAATGGGAATCTTGAGCGTGAATTATCTGGTAATAGATCCATGAAGACTGTACGTCGATTGCCTAAGCGGTTATTGAGATATTTGCTATTGTTCACTGAAGTTTATAATGAAATCGAGTGTATATATATCAACGTCGGGAAAGTTTATAGTATCATACTACTGTATAATAAACAATCCGTTTAGAATCTGGCATTTTCTTACTTATAATGTAAACTTTCTACAAAATTAATATACATGTACGTTAATTACTTTATATTAATTGCATTCATAATTAATTCTAATGAAACTTCATATTTAAGGCTCACATTCATATCTCCTTACACTTTAACACTGTATGTAATGATAGGTAATATTAGTAATGTTGTGTTTTATGCCTTAATAAAGTGTAATTATTTTTGTATGGTCATTTAAGTGGTCATAATAACCAGTCGATAACCGCACATAAGCCGCACACAGCATTGGTGGACAGACCAGTTGTCTACTGGCAACAAAATAAAACATTATTGTAATATTATAAATAATTTTTACAACACATTGGTAATACAGCATAATTGGCATGTATTATTTTAAATAATATATTGTATAAAATACAACCAAGGTTAAAATTATTATGTAATCTAGATTAAGTTTGTTTTACAACAATTCCTGAAAATTAATAACATATGTTTTTTAATTAATATTTATATTAAAAGAAATTCAATAATTAAAATGAAACCAATGTTTATAAAACATCAAAATTGTATGTTTTATAAGTAAAATAAAGTTTATACTAATATTATAAACATTCAGACGTTAACATTATTGTAAGAACATTTAGTAAATAAATCATTAATTTTTAAACGTTGAAATATTTATAAAACTAAAAATATTATTATTATTTAATATGAAATATGTTCTAATTAGTTTATTATATATTTCATAAAATTAAAAATATCTAGTAGAAACACATGAACATTTCAAATATTTGTCAAAATTTCAAATGCAGTATTAGCTTAAATTAAATGTAATTATTATAGACTATAATTTTTATAGCAAATTGAAGCTTAAAATACAACGATGGAAGTAAGTGATGGATTGGTAACCATTCCGAGTCCATGGGATCGCATTAACATAATCGCAAAAATTACATTCAGGTAATAAGTTTAAAAAATCATGGTTAAATTAACGGTTTGAAATACAAACTTTGTATATTATTCTCCCAGTGTATACGCAATGTAATTTTTTTGCATTAGTAAAATTTATGTTAATCTTAATTTGAATTTATTACATAATAAAAACTGGGATATTTTTCTCCCATATGCTAAACGGTGTAAATTGGGAGAACATCTCCCAGCATAAAACACACTAAACCTTAGAACTATTACACAAATTAAACTATTACAATCCCAGTTTATAACTCGTGGATAATTTTAATACCAGTTTATTTAAAATATATATAATATATTTTTAGGCTTTTAGGGTTAAATAAAAATATGTTAAATTTAAGCTCATTTTTTTAACAAAATCTTTATGCATATTTCAAGTTTTATGCTGAATTTGAACAATAATGCTAAAAATGTTTTTATTTAGTTGGATGTGGAGTCTATTTATTCTGGCGCACAAAAAAGACCTCGAGTTTAGTGATCTCTACCGGTGCTCAAAATCAGATGAGACACATCTGGTCCGACATAAGTTGGAAATGTAATATGAACATGATATCTACAATAACAATAATAAAAGTAATAATGCTTTAAATGTATTACTATAGCAAATGGGATCAACAATTGAAATGTAAAGGCAAACCATCGCTATATCGGGCATTATTCGCATCGTTCGGACCCGAGCTTATTGTCCTCTATATTCCCGAAGCAATCCGGGTATAAAATAAATGAATAATAATTAAAAACAATAATTTTAATAATGAATAGTGAATTATTTTCATTAATTTAATTTGTAATCATTGATTGCCAATTAAACAGCAATTGGGACTAAACTTGTTTCAGCCGTATTGTATTGTTTATTTGGTGAGATATTTCAACAATGACCCCAACACTAGCCAGTGGTGGGCGCAGTGGGCAGCCGTGGGTATTGTGTTGGCGGCCATTGGAAACATGTTTTTTGCATATTTGATTTATATTTTGTGCAACAAAGTGGGTGTCAGAATCCGTGCCGCCTGTTGTGCCCTAATCTACCGCAAGGTCTGTCCCATAAAAGTGTATACTTTGGTAACTTTTATTGAATAGATTTTTGTATAATTTCATATAAAGTCAATGCGTTTAAACCATTCAGCACTCAGACAGACAACTGTTGGTCAAATATTGAACATTATGTCCAACGATATCAACAGATTTGATGACGTATACAATATTAATACAGTATTAGATCGTTTGTGTGAAGTTGCATTTGTAATAACTAACCACTTGTGTGAAACTTTCCAAAACAAGCCCTCCATTAACATAATGTTAAAACAAAAATACCAGTCGTGTGAACCAAACATTCAAATTTTTCACATCACACAAATGGCCTTTTACTGTAGTTACGCTTATAAGTAAATTAAATAAATATGAAATTTATTTTTAATCATCGTATTAATATATTGATAAGAACAGTTAGCATTGCATTCGAAATCATTGTTTGTGGGGCCACTGCAGGCGGCCATTGTGTTATTCCTGTTGTGGCCATACCTTCGGTGGGCGTGTCTGACGGGAATGGGAATACTTGTGCTGTTAATACCATTTCAAGTACTAATGGGACGTATGTTTCGGAAAGTACGTCAAAAGACGGCCAAATTAACCGACAGTCGAATCCGTTTAATGCAAGAGATTATCGCCGGAATGCGTGTCATAAAGATGTACGCCTGGGAACAGCCCTTCGCACTATTGGTACAAAATGCTCGCAAGTAATGAAAACAATTTGATTATCTAATAAACAATATTGTTGTAAATATTTAAATAAATAATATATACTTAATAATAGGTCCGAAATGAAACAAATTCGATATTCAAACTTTTTAAAAGGTGTTAACCATGCAATTTATTATAGTATAATACGGGTTATAATATGCGCCTGTTTTCTAACATATATTCTGATGGGCGAGAAGTTGTCGGCGGAGACTACGTTCGCCACTATTGCTTACTTTAATGCCATGCGTTGGTCTATGGCTAAAAACGCTCCTCTGGCTATAACTGCTTTAAGCGAGCTAATTATAGTCATCAAACGTATCCAGGTAATTGTAATAGATTATACAATTAATTGATTTGATAATTTGATTTAATTTAATAGGATTTTCTATTACTCGAAGATATGAGTGGTTTGGATGAGAGGGAAGGGAAAGACAACGAGGCGTTCATTTCGGGTGAAAATGAGATAATTCTCGGAGTAATGGAAAACACTTTGAGTAATGAAGAAAAAGGCGTTTTTATGGACAAAATGAGCGTTCGTTGGAATAATGTATGAATTCTTTGATGTCTTTCAACACGTGTTTAGAGTTTTATGAATACATTAGGAGACGACTGAACCCACGCTTCGGGACATTAGTCTGAGTGTAAAACCCGGACAACTGTTGTCTGTCGTCGGTTCCGTTGGCAGTGGAAAGGTATGGGTTTTCATACATTAATTTTATTTATTTTATATTTATAATTACTATTAATTAAAATTAGAGCTCATTATTAATGGCAATACTGAATGAGATATCGCTAGTGTCGGGTCGAGTGGTAGTGAGGGGTCGGGTGTCGTACGCGCCGCAGGAGTCGTGGGCTTTCATAGCGAGTGTTCGACAGAATATTCTGTTTGGCTCTCAATATAATGAAGAGAAATACAATCGAGTGGTGAAGGCGTGCGCTTTGG